TTAGGCAGACTGAAGAGAAGCTATGAAAAACTACAGAAAAAGCATATAAGGGACTTCAGAGGAAATGCCAAAAATCACAGGGAAGATCGGTCTGAAATTGAGAGGTTAACTGGAAAAATAGAGGAATTTCGTCAGAAATCACTGGACTGGGAGAAGCAACGCTTGATTTATCAGCAACAGGTGTCTTCTCTGGAAGCACAGAGGAAGGCTTTGGCTGAACAATCAGAGATAATTCAGGCTCAGCTTGTCAATCGGAAACAGAAATTAGAGTCTGTGGAGCTGTCCAGCCAGTCGGAAATTCAGCACCTGAGCAGTAAGCTGGAGCGGGCCAATGACACTATCTGTGCCAATGAATTGGAAATAGAGCGCCTCACCATGAGGGTCAATGACTTGGTTGGAACCAATATGTCTGTTATGAAAGAGCAGCGGCAAAAAGAAGAAAAATTGAGGGAATCTGAAAAACTATTAGAGATTCTCCAGGAAGAAAAGAGAGAATTGAAAGCAGCTCTTCAGTCTCAAGAAAATTTCATGCATGAGGAAAGAATGCAAAAGGAGAAGCTACAAGCAAAGTTAAAGCCAACTGACACTCAACACACAATAGAGGCCCTAAGGTCACTGGAGGAGTCACAGGCAGGAAGGAGGTACACCTCGCAAGAGCAGGAGGACTTAGGCAACATGCTATCCCAGCTGGATTTCACCCACAGTAGTGAAGAACTTCTGCAGGCAGAGGTGACTCGTTTGGAAGGCAGCTTGGAGTCTGTGAGTGCAACATGTAAACAACTGAGCCAAGAACTAATGGAAAAATATGAAGAATTGAAGAAGATGGAAGTACATAACAATGAGTACAGGGCAGAGATTAAGAAGTTGAAAGAACAGATTTTACAGGCTGAACAAAGTTACAGTTCTGCATTAGAAGGAATGAAGATGGAAATCTCACAGCTAACTCGGGAGTTACACCAGCGAGACATCACTATTGCTTCCACCAAAAGCTCGTCCTCTGACATGGAAAAGCGACTCAAGGCAGAGATACAAAAGGCAGAAGAAAAAGCCGTAGAACATAAGGAGATTTTGGATCAGATGGAGTCACTCAAGTTAGAAAATCGTCATCTCTCTGAAATGGTGATGAAATTGGAATTGGGTTTACACGAGTGTCCCTTGCCGGTATCTCCTCTTGGTTCCATAGCTACCAGATTTTTGGAAGAGGAGGAGCTGAGGTCGCATCATATTCTAGAGCGCCTGGATGCCCATATTGAAGAACTCAAAAGAGAGAGTGAAAAGACAGTGAAACAATTCACGACCCTAAAGTAGCCTCTTGAAAAAAAAAATCACAAACTTGGAAATGAAAATAGACCCTGAAGAGTTCCTGTCACCTGGAAGTGGTGGCTCTTTAGAACACGAAGATGCAAAAAATGCCAAGATGAGACATCCTAACACTGTTGTGAAGAAATCTGAAAAACGGATACTTCTCTAAGGCATTTTCACTGCACTGGTTTGTTTGAAGAACTTTTTCCAGCAATAACTTGTAAGAATAAACCACTTTGCTAGCCAAAAAAAAAAAAAAAAAAAATACATTTTCTCAAATAACCACAATCCTGTTATCATACATAACAAAATTAGTAATAATTTGATAATTCCTGTACATTATCTAATACTAAGTCCATAATAAAATATCCTCAATTGTCTAACCAAAAAAAGGTATTTTTATAGTGGGTTTGTTTAAATCAGAATTGAGCAGAGTTTTACATTGCATTTGGCTGTTGTGCCTTTTGAGTCTCAATCTAGAGCATTCCCCCCTCTTTTTTTTTTTTGCTATTTATTTGTTGTAAAAACTAGTATATTTGTCCTATGACCCATCCCACCTTCTAGATTTGTGTTTGCTTTCTTGTGACATTTTCTTTTTAATGAAACCAGGCCAGTTATCTAGTAGAATGTCTGATTGTTTTCTCATGGTGTCATTTAACTTGTTCTTTTATTTCTGTTTCCTAAAAACTGGAAGTAACATGAACCACTTACTTGATTTTAGATCTTTAGCAAAACTACTTCCAAGGTGATGCTGTGAATTTCGTATTGCATTGCATCAGGAGGCACATGAAGTCAGCTGTCTTGCTATTAGTAACAATCAGGTTAATACTTAGTTAAGGAGGTGATAGGATCTCACCATTGTAAAGTTAGTTTTTTCCTTGTTGAGGCTAGCAAGTAATATGTGAGGTAATAGTTTGGTACTCTAGAATCAATTGTTTTATTAGGGCTTGCAAACCTGTGATTTTCCAATTTTGTCATTCCTTCTACATTTATTAGCTGGCGTTCTTCTGTAAACGGGAGCTCTCCGTCATCTGGGACTGTTTGATAAAATACACTTGCTGTGTAAAATGTGTGATAAATAGCTATTTTTTTCTTTTCTTTTTTTTTTTTTTTTAAAGATTTTATTTATTTTTTTGACAGAGAGAGACATAGCGAGAGCAGGAACACAAGCAGGGGGAGTGGGAGAGGGAGAAGCAGTCTTCCCGCAGAGCAGGGAGCCCGATGTGGGACTCGATCCCAGGACCCTGGGATCATGACCTGAGCCGAAGGCAGACGCTTAACGACTGAGCCACCCAGGCGCCCAATAGCTATTTTTTTCAATAACTGTTTTTTGATTCAAGGTTGTTAAGGCACTATAAAAGGGTTATACAAGAAGACAGTCTTCTTCAGGAGCTCACAGCCTGTTGGGTTGGCAAAATAACATGCACAACAGCACATCAAAGTTAGGGAATGAGACAGGATGGTATGGTGCTATAAATTAAGTGACTGATGCACATCATAAATTCAGGAGAGGGAGAGGTCAATGTGAACAAGAGAGGACCGAGAGGTTTTTTTGTTTTTGTTTTAAGATTTTTATTTATTTAGTTGACAGAGAGCACAGGTGGGCAGAGCAGCAGGCAGAGGGAGAGGGAGAAGCAGGCTCTCCGCCGAACAAGGAGCCCGATGTGGGACTCGATCCCAGGACGCTGGGATCATGACCTGAGCCGAAGGCAGACACTTAACTGACTGAGCCACCCAGGCGCCCGAGGTTTTGTGTAGAAGGTTGATTTCAGCTTACCTTTGAAGGACGGTCAGGTTTTGAATAGGTGGACAAAGGAAAGAGGGTACTCTAGGTAGTGTGGATGGTGAGGAGGAAGGCAGGGGGAGAGAGGGTGAGCTGTACATATTCTGGAGGTATAATAAGGAATCCATTCTGTCTAGAGAAGCTGAGAATATGGGTGTGGAAATAAGGCTGAGGAGGTAGGTAGGCCAGGCGCAGAACATGGACAACCTTAAATGCCAGTTCAGGAAAGTTAACTTTTATCCTATAATTATTGTGTGCTTTGTGTACTTTGAGCATTTGTAAATTAGCTTCTTACCTGATGGGAGACAAAATCGGACTTTGTAAAAAGCTAGAATCTGGGAGACCAATGAGACCACCTTTGAGGGGCTCAGAGGTAGGGAATATGCTTGACATTGAGATAAATGTTTTCATCCTGTTTCCTCTGCAGCCCGTGTGACCCCAACTCTACCAAAGCAGGACCGTCCTGTGCGTGAGGGGACCCGGGTAGCTTCCATTGAGACAGGCTTGGCTGCAGCAGCTGCGAAGCTAGCCCAGCAGGTAGGTGCTGACACCCAGGCAGTGGCCCTGCTACTGATCCCAGTTTGCCTTTAGGACAAAAACTAGAAATGTCTCAGAGGCTGTTGTTGGGAGCCAGTGGAGACTAAGCAGGCCAGCTTCTCTCTGTCCTTGAATGAGAGCATTTGCCTTCAGATGAAGCCCCGAGGAGGTTACCAGCTGAGTATATTTGAGTTCACAGCCACCCAACCAGTATCAGAATTTGTTTTTTGGGGAGAAGCTTTCCTTGTCCTCTATACCAAATAGTATTATTATTTTCAATTTAAATTCAGTTAGCCAACATATAGTACATCATTAGTTTCAGATGTAGTGTGTTCAGTAATTTATCAGTTGCGTATAACACCCAGTGTTCATCACATCATGTTCCCTCCTTTAATGCCCATCACCCAATTACCCCATCCCCCCACCCACCTCCCTTCCAGCAGCCCTCAGTTTATTTCCTGTAGTTAAGAGTCTCTCATGGTTTTTCTCCCTTTCTGATGACTTCCCATTCAGTTTCCCTCCCTTCCCCTGTGATCCTCTATGCTATTTCTTATATTCCACATATGAGTATTTAGCTTGGGTCATGGTTGATATTTTTGATTTTGTCCTCGTGTTCATCCATTTTTCTCTGGGCAAAATGACCTGAAAGAGGAATTCACAACAAAAGAAAGAACCAGAGGTATACCAAATATTATTGCCTTAATATTTACTCCCTACTTCCCAAGAAAACTTCAGCCACTAGTTTTTATCCTACAGGGTCACTTCACTAGAACCAACTTGACCTCCTAGCAGGTTACAGTTTGCAAAGTTCTTTAATGTGTATACTGTGCTCAGCAACCCTGGGAGCAGTTGGAGTTGAATTTTCTGATTCTCTCCTTATCAACATCCCCTTGGCTCCTTATGCTTAGAGCATTTGTTGAGCATCTACTTTACGTTAGGTGCTTCCATGTACAATGTTTCACATAATCTGCCCAGTAGCCCGGTTCAGTAGGTGATATTTTCATCATTTTGCAGGTGAAGAAAAGGAGGCTCTCTTTAAGTGACTAGTCCAGGATAATACAGCCAGTAAATGGAGGAGACAAGATTCAAACTCTTGTCCTCTAGCTTCAGACTTCCTTTTACTTGCTATTTCAATAAAAACAGTTAAATGTTTACATAATTTAATAATTATATCCTATTTAAGTAGAATTTAATAGAATGATGTTTTTAATATGCTGTTATATGGAGCTCTAGAGTTGCTTAGAAATGTCTCAGTAGCTGTTGTTGGGAGCCAACGGAGACCAAGCAGGCCAGGCAAGCCTTCTTTGACCAGAACTTCTGTTATGTATATCCTAGTGCCATCTAAGATGTAATTTGGAAAAAAAGGGAGGGGGGTTTTACTGTTTTAAATAAACAGATAAATTAATTAAAGGTGTGAAAATTACTACTAGTGCCTTCTTAAGGAGCTCACTTCTGTTCGGTTTGGTCAGGGATGACCTCAAAGAAGAGGATTTGAAATTTGGGAGGGGTTTTGCAGGCTAAGCTTTTAGAAGGAACAGGGAGGCATTCCAGGAGAAGGGAAATGCTTGGCAAAGCACCCAAGGTCCTCTTAATTTGGTCTCTAGTCACCTCTCCTCCCTAACCTCCTACCAGCCCCGCTTTGCACCAGCCATACTATTGCACCCCGGTGCTTGTAATTCGCTTAGTGTACATCACATTGTCTCATGCCTCTGTGCCTTTGCACAGGTTGTTTTCTCTGCCCATTGGGGATTGTCCCTTTCAGATGCCCTTACCTAACACTCTTTCATACCACCTACCACCAGTTTATTTCAGTGGCCTTCTGTGCTTCTGTCGTATTCTCTCATGGTACTTATAATCATAAGTATGCTTTTCTGTGTCCCTTATTAAACTGTGAGTGCCTCAAGGGTGGGGATATATCTAATTTAACTTGATATCCCCCCTATACTAAACATGTGTTTAGTCCGTGTTGGGCAGGTGAGTGAATGGATGCATGAATGAATGAGCAGATCTTTCTGCATTGGAGGCTTCATGTTGGGGAATGGGGTAAGATAAATTCAGATTAAAAAAGGAATTGTAGAGCCAGCCTGCCTGAGTTCGAATCCTCACTCTACCACTTTAGCACATTACTTGATTTCTCTGTGCCTCAGTTTCCTCCTAAACTTTGAGGACTAGATGAGGTAATGTGTGGGAAAGCTCTGAGAATGGCACTTGCCACAGAGCAAGTACTATAGACATGTTAGTTTTTCAGTGTTATCATTATGGATTGGGTAAGTATGAATGACCAGACTATGGAAGACCATGAAAGTCACACCTGCTAACAGGTTTTTGAGCAAGGAAATTTGCAAGGTGTAAGTGGTCCTGTCCTAAGACGGTCTAGTGTTTAGTGAGGGAATCTGGATGAATTATACAAGGAGACTGGCAACGAAGATAGAAAAATTTAGGCTGTGTGATCTAGGTGTGGATAGATAATTTCTGGATTCAGGTGAGAGAAATGGGGGCAGAAATGTAGTTTCTGGTACGGGTGGAATAGCAGTATGGTTGAGAAAAGAGATTCTGAAGCTGGATGGCTTAGGTCTGAATCCTAACTTGGCCACATACTGGTCCTATAACCTTGGAAAAATGACTTAATCTCTCTGTGCCACAGTTTCTTCTCCTAAAAATGGGATTTTCATTCTTTCTTCTCATACTTCTTCTGAGTATTAAATGAGTTAAATTATAGAACAGTACCTGGCATGTATTACTAATATTATTATTCTTATCTCCCAGAAATTCCTATGATAGCCACAGCCTGTCAGATCTTCCGAAGGCAGGAGTAGGCCCGTGTTGCCAAGGCAAAGAAATGTAATCACTGAGTTGGTGTGGCTGTGTAGCATTTCAGAAGGTGAAGTCGTTCACATGCTCTCAGCACCACCTTTCCAGGTTCTCAGG